ATGTAACCTCCCTGTACCTTTTCTATAAATACTTTCATTGTAAATGTTCTGATGAACTTCCTCTATGTTACCTAGACTTTATTAATTTAAGTGCAGTATTAGATTTATGAGACGGTCTCATTTTAAAAGTTGACGTGTCTAGATATAAGAGTAAGTTCTATGTTAACAGTTTCTTCTGTTACACTTCTCGCATGTGGAACTCTCTTCCGGCTTCTTGTTCCCCGTCAATTTTAATCTGCAAAAATATATATGCACTGTCAATATTGTCTTTTAAATTATTGTTCTTTTAATGATTTCCCGCCTTAACAATTTTTTTTCTCGTATTTTCTACCACTCAGTAACCCCTTGCTTCTTAGTGGCTTTAATACCTGGCGGGGTATAAAATGAAATATCAGACGTACGTGGATTTATTAAAAACATACTAAACCGCCATCCCATCATTTTCAAACTCGTGCATTAGTGCCATCTGCTATCTGGGTTGATAGCCTCTGTCGCTAAGTAATTAAAACACGCTCGACTTTTTAGAGTTAAATGAAATATATTGTGTATGTACATCTTTCCGGAACCTCAGTTAAAATGCCGATTTTCGAAGTGTTACGTTTTGCCGCCAGCGTAGATTTTTATCTAAATATTTTTGCAACTCTCCATCTGGTTTTAATGATAGAATCCGTCTTTTATCTTTTGGAAATGCCTGTGCACAAATGGAAACTTGTTTTCTTTCTACCGGGAAGCAGTGTGTAGCCTGATAATTGCAGACAGCTCTAAATAGTTGTTAATTAGTAACGTAGGTGGAAATAAATTAGTGGTTCAAGTGCGTTTCTCCTTCAGGGACCATTTGGTGGCCGTAGTATTCTTTAACGTTAAAACATTCTAATTATGGGAGACATGCTTGATATTATGAGAGCTGTGGAGCTGTCTTGACACCGACCCATGAGACTGGCTAAGTTTAGTTGAATAGCATTTATAGTTCACTCTCCTGAAGTCGAGGCACAACGTGAGGAAGATATAAAGGATTAATTTATGTCACTTGAATGTGAATGATGTGCACCTGATGTATCTTTAAGAAGCAATTCATTTAAGGGAAGATAGTTTGGGGAGTAGCAGAATGTAGGCTTTATGGCATGGGAATACTAGGGAATCGTATAATAGTTGGAAACAGGCAGACCGAGAGCGGGAGGCATGAAGTATGAAAGATGTGAATGACTAAAGGAAAGCGCCGAAAGAGATAAAATATTGAATATAAAATGTAAAGCAACAAGAACGGATTTTGATAGTAAAAAATAAGGAATAAAAATAAAATCCGTAATAGCAATACAATAAATTGCATGAAAATAAAAATTATTTTATTGAAAGAGAAGATCCTATATCTGTACATAAATGTATTTATATATTTAAACGCAAACTACATCTCTCTCTCTCTCTTTCTCTCTCTCTCTCTCTATCCATCTCTCTCATTTTATATGACATATGCTTTTATGATATCGGCTTTTGTGGCTCTCCAAAACGCCATGATTTATTGCGTTTTATAACTCTTAGTTTTTTCCTGATTCAGCTATGAAGTACGTCACTGTTATATACTGTACTTATGAACTTTTATAGGTATGTCCCAATCCTCATAAATAAGTTGGACACTATTGTAAATGGTGGTAATATGCTGTCTATGTAGTCCACAACTAGCAGTGGTTTACCTATTTCACGCCGCTGGAGAGTATTGTATTTTGTTGATGTTATAAAGATACTTTTTTATATATATACAATGTCCTTTCACAGCGTTGGCGATCATGGTTCTCCACCTCCCTCTATCCCTTGCAGCTCTCAGCAAGTTCTTTTCCTCTGCTTCCTCTCCCAGATCATGTTCTGTCATCCACCTGCTCAAGCTCGCTGCTTTCCCTTGTCTCTCTCTCTCTCTCCCTATATTCGACCCGTGTGTATCCTCATTATGTGCACCAGAAACTTCAGCTGCCTTTTTCTGAAATTAAGTATAAACCTTCTCCTTGTTTGCACACTCTCTAAACCGCATCGTTGCTCACACGCTCGGTCCATGATATCCTTAGCATCCTTTTGTAGAGCGACATCCCCGTCGCCTCGAGTTTCTTCTTCATCTTTGAGAAAATCGTCCAACATTCGCTGCCGTAAAGAAGGACAAATGTTACGTAACAGCTCACTATTCTTTCTTTTTTTTTCTTTTTTTTTTGTTGTTGTTGTTGCCAAAGAAATTCTCCTGTCTCGCAATCCACGATTTCAATTCCAACTTCGACTTTGATTATTCCTCATTCAGTAACCCTTTCTAGGTTACAACCAGCACCGATCAAGCAAATTTGAATGATATATTTATTTATATCTAACAGCCTGAATATTCGAGAAATCTTTTTAAGGAAAGATATGCGCTCCCAGGCCGGTAGACGAAAATATATATATATACATATATATATATTGCTTAATGAATAAACTGAGCTTCTTATCAAAAATGAATATCCACTAAAAATAAAAATTTATGTAATAAAATTTGGCAGATTAGAAAATAAAAATCCACTACCTCTTTAGAAATTGTTTTGTTTACGTTAGGATACGAAACTAAGCAGATATGAATGCTTCGAGAATCTGAGAAAAAATTAAGTTTATAAGGTATAATTGAATTATCGGCCTATTAAAACTTATTCTTTCCTTTGCGATAATAGTTCGCTCATCCGTATACGGAAATATATTTGTCGGTGTTTATTTTCTTTCTTTTTCTTTTCGCTTTTATTGATTCAGAAGTTCCTGTGTTCATTACATTCTTCAACTATTCATCCTCGTTACGAATTTGCAATATTTCCTAAAGATCATTCTTATGATGTATAGTAGTTACTTTGTAGCTCTTTTCTGCTTTTTTTTATATTTTCTGTCAAACTGTATTTTAAAAATTCCTCGGAGTATCTCTCTCGGTTCAAGTCTTTTATCATCTCACAGGATATGGTTCAAACATTTCATTTTATTTACAAGATTCGACATTACATGGGATTAAGAACCTCTTTTCGTTTTATTTCTTTTATTAATTAGTTAAATATAGCTTTTTTTTAGCAATATTTATGAAAGAATAAAGCGAAATCTTTTCACGATACACACTTAAGTAACGCATGAAAATCAAATTGATTACGTGTGAAAACAGAAGTAAAGTCAAAAATATATACATATTTAATCAAAAACTACGATGATTTCTTTTGTCTTTACTTAAAAATTATATAGAACAAACGAAAGAGTTAAACACGGGAGTCATGAGGAAAAATAGTAGGAAAGATAATTAGAGAACTATTTTAACTCGAAAACTGAATACATTGGATTGCTGCAACCTCTAACAGCACGACTCTCCGCATCAGAATAAGAGAATTGTTGAAATCTATTTAAGGTTTTCTTAGCATTGTTTTTTTGCTTATTTAACTATTCAGCTATCACAGAACTTTTAGAATCGTTAGCATTTCTGAAGTTAGAGAAGTGACTTTGGCATCAAAATAAACTGATAAACATAGGTCACTGTTTAAATATTTGATTCTATCCTTGTATTAGAGAGAGAAAAAAATCAATTTTAGGTAAGAGATACAATGGCAAAGAATAAACCTTTTACTTGGAGAATACAAGCTGCTGCTTCTACTACTAAATCATGCTATGAATGCGGTCAACCCACGAGAACGACCTTGTCCTAACTCTCACGATCTTGACGGAGTGTCGGAACACCGTCCAACGCCAGACTGATCTGCTGGAGGTCCTGACGAACGACATCGTCCAACGGCTTTGCAGTCTGCCGAGAGGTCGTCGCTAGTCTGAAAATGGCAGTTCGAAATGTTAGATGACTCTGGTAGGGTGGTCATCAGATTGTCGCATGACATGACTGAGTCAGCGAACACGGCGTTGCTCGGTGGTACGGAGAAAGTTCGTCTGACCGGCAGATCTACCCATCTAGAATATTGAATCAGTGCACCCAATGAGAGATGAACTGGTCCTATATTGCACTGAAGGTGCGAGACTCGAAACCATGGAAGCGAGGAGCTTGCTCTGAGATCTTGTCCCGACCCCGTATAATAGAACAGAGGAGACGGTGGTGGTATAAACACTGGCTTAGGGCGTCGGGCGATGTCACGACGCCGCTATACTAGTCTAAAGAGGTGTCTCAAGACATCCACATGCAGTTCACGGAATAGAAGCAGAAGAAACCAATCATCATCTTGATCTATACAAAATGCAGTGAAAAAATCTTATGTTCGCTGAGATTCAATGAGATATGTTTTCTCATAAGAGATTGCTTTAACGTGGACGAACCGTCATTCTGCGAAAAACAATTAATTATTTTGAATGAAAGAATCAGCGAAAAAGACATGATATCTGAATATGGAGACACGGTAGTCTCAATCCTAAACAAAGCAACTGATCATTCATTTAGGATGGGATTTTTTTTTTCTAAATTCTCTTCATTCTCCAGACTTGTCACTTTCAGGGTATCATATTTGTTCCACATCAAACGAAATACCAATGGATTATTCGAAGAATTTATAGAATTAAATCTGGGATGGTTCTTTTTAAAGGAATATGAAACGTACTTGGAAACTGATGTAATATAAAATAAATACGTTAGAAATTGATTGAATATTGATTAGATGAAATTTTATTTCTAAATTTGGAATTTGCTTAATGTTGAACCTATATTTTCTGTCATTAGTTCATGAGCAATATATTTTCGACACCATCATTTCTGCGCCAATATATAAGCATTGTACTTGTTCCTACCTTTCATAATTTCTTTGCTAGTTAGCACAACCATTGCGCCGTGTTAATACCTAATAAACAATGGATTATTTCGTTTTGATCATGTGGCAATAGGGGAAAAATAATTCTTGGTTTCAGTGAGGAAATGAAAGAAACAATGAACGGAAGATAGATGTGTGTAACGTCTCTTGTCAATACCTCATAAATGATGATCTATTCCGTTTTGAATGCGTAGAAAAACATATCAGAGACGCTACTAGGTTTCAGTGGGGAAAAGAAAGAAAGAAAGAAAGAAAGAAAGAAAGAAAGAAAGAAAGAAAGAAAGAAGTGTTTAACGGCTGTTTCAGTGTAATGGGAAAAATTCAATTTCAAATCGTTTCATTTGTACCAACTTCTTAAAATTATGACCATCATTCTTATTTGTGGCTGTTATCGTAATATTTTGTGAAAGTTGTTAAGCTCAAATGATTAACAACGCCCTGTGGAGTTTCTAAAGATATTTTATTGTATTAGAACTCGCCAAGAGCATATCCATTCATTAGCTTGAAAACTAAGATTCATCAGTAAATTCAAGTAAGAAAACAGTGAAATATTCAGGTATTTTATAGTAAGTATAATATTAAATTAGACTGAATTTTGATGATATGAAATTCTATTAGCAAAAAATACATTTTGAAATCTGTCTGAAATTTGGACGTTCATGAATGATAACGCTGTACTTCTGGCATTAAATCCTGAGCAATATATGTTGTCCCCCATAAATATTTAGCGCTAAAATAAGTTCGAATATGTCATTGATTTTCTAATCAAAACTTACAATTTAAACTAAACGTTACATAGTTTTCTCATAAAAATATAGTTATTTCCTCAAAAAGATATTTTCAATATGAATGTTTTAATACCAGTTTCATTGGTTGAAACATTTACCTGAATAAGAAAAGTTCATAAAATATATCTCATTGTTTTCGAGTTTTCATGAAGTTGATTATCCTTCTCCTTGTTCAGGAAAAAGCGTGTACTGACTTGAGACAATGCACAATAACACTTATAAATAACAATACAAAATAAAATGATACGTCACTTCAATGTCGCTTTAGTATGATGTCGCAACTGTGTCGCGTGAATTCAAACTCCCCAACTATTTCTTATCTGTGTGATGCATTTTCACTTTCAGCCACTATTTCTCAGCTTCATCATCATAATTAAGTTTTGTCTTACTCTTGCTTTCCGGCAGACTTTATTATACATTTCCCATTTACGAACATTTTTATTTTTATTTTGATGCACACATTGGAAATAATCTGTTATGGGAAGACATTTTTTAAGAGAACGGTGAGCATCTAACTTTGACAGGCAATTTTACGCCATTAATCGAAATGGGGTTATATAAAAGTGTACGTGTTTGTGCAGGCAATGTCAAGACGAGCTGATTGTAAAAGGCGATTTAATTAACTAATTTTCCGGTTACGCTAAGCAATATTGCTTATATAATTATATTAAGAATATGAAAGTGAAATTAATTAGACTAATTATCATATGAAAGCAAATTTTAGCTTACCAGACTGGTGAAGTAGAAAGCGTGCTCTTTTTATCCGAGTGCTTACTACACTGATAAAATTTCATGAGCAAAATCTTAAGAAAGAAAATAAATTCTATTGATTAAACACACACGCACACACAGGGTCACACACACACAGGGTCGCACACACACAGGGTCACACACACAGGGTCACACACACACACAGGGTCACACACACAGGGTCACACACAGGGTCACACACACACACACACACACATATATATATATATATATATATATATATATATATATATATATATATATACTAGCTGTATAACCCGTCTACAACTAGGTGTTTCATTACTGAGAATTTTTGCCGTTCTCTTGGAGCAGTTAATTTAAATCAACACACCCGAAAATCAATCTTAGTAACAACAACTGGGTACAACTGAGGTACATCCCCAAATGAGGGTTTATCAATTTGAATAGAGGGTGGCCCTAAAAAGGTTTGTTTTTGCGTTCTCAATTTTGTTTCAGCCTGGCGCGCAGAAGCGTCCAGATATGCGCTTCTGGAAAACCGATGACTAAGTTGATCTACGAACTCAGTGGCTCTGATTAAAGCATTCCGAGAGACATTTTCAGACAGGCGATCTAAGCGTTCTAAAGACGATTCATTATCCATTATTCACATGGCGGATCTGTTGGCTGCAGTTTTGCGAACTAAGCAAGTTCTTTTCTTTGGTGGCATGTCTTAGACAAGTATGAATTGTCAAATGGAATGCGTGAAGATAACGTTGAAAAGCTACAGGAATCACTAAGCTCAAATAACTTTAGGTAAGTTTGGAACATAAGTGTTGATTAATAAATAAGAAGGCTTAATTATTACTACAGTGAATGCAATGCAAAACTGGCAGAACAATAAACAATTTAAATTGGGAACGGCTATAAACGACAATGAAAGCAACGCCTTAAAGCTGAAGTAGTAGGCTTTATGCAACGGAAAAGGTAAGCTCACTTGAGAGAGATTGACGCTTGACCAAGAGAGGGGGAATATGTAAGCAGGGCTGGACGTACAGAGGTAGAAGCGGATTTGCGAAATTAAGCGGTAGCATTAAACATAGGAGTGCGTAGATACAGCGACATTTGATTGGACGTGTAAAGGGGCTTCATAGAGCCAACGGGCAACTCGAACAGGTGTCGCTTTCCTCAGGTATTGCTTATGCGCGTGCATCAGCGCATGACACAGTGCGTGTTGCAGGGTAACAGGTACACACGTTGCTACACGCGCTAATTATCAAGGTCAGCAGCAACCAATAGGCAGAGTGTAAAGTTGTGAAATACGCCCACACAGCATGAGCTAGGACTGGAATTTTTTATGTGAAATAGTAATATCAGAAAATGTATTAGGCGAATGAAACTGAGAGAACATGAATAAACAAAACTTGATAAATCGACACATAGTGTTGCAGAATAAGTGGGTTTACTCGTATGCAAGGATAACGGTGCCTAAACGTTGAGGTAACGAGGCATATCACTGATGTCTTGCACCTGTAAAATTAATTTTAGGTTCGCTACAATGGGGAGATTTTTTCACGGGAAAAACGACGAAAATAGGATGTCCCTTGCAAAAGTTATCTTGCTTGAGGCAACATTAATCCCCTCTAAAAAATGATATTTTGAATGCCTGTTGCTTCGTAGAGTCGGGCATTGAACACTCCTGCAAATGCTACATGACCGTTTCTTCGTTAAGCATCTTTTGCCTTAGATTTCAACTCTATAAATTGATTCTACGCTGTTTTTTACAGACATTAAACATTGCATTTGATATGTGCGTAAAATGTAAAAAATCAGTATTGTCTATTTTTCACCTTCAAGGTTGCCATATTTTCCAGCCAATTTGGACTCAAAACCGGGACTGAAGAATTATCTAACAAACAAAAAATATTTCATCGAAATCTGATGAAATCTGTGGAAACGCATAAAGAAAATCCGATCACACGCACATACATACATTTTGAGAATTATAGATATAGATTATATTTTCAGGTTCTCTTCATAGATATGTCAACTAAGTATAATTAATTATAACTATAATTAACTATTACTTATAATTATGTTAATTATAATATTAATAATAATTCATAATTTATGTAATTAATATAATTAATCATATAGATTTAACTGTATTATAATAAATAATATTATTGTAATAATTTAAACTATTTATTTTTATTAAAGTTTTTATAAAAGATCCAAAGCAGATAACAAATAATAACGTTACTGACAGTTGAAATGGACAGGAAGTAATGGAGAGCCTTTGTCGCGAAGACAAAACCGGCACTGAAGAATTATCGAATCGGATAAAAGAATCATAGAAATCGGATGAAAACTGTGGAAATACATAAACATCCAATCACACACACCCACACATACATACAAAGACATATTTTGAGAATTATATATATATATAGATACACCTAGTGAGCCAGACAAACCGTTTGTCTGGCTCACTAGGTGTATCTAGGTCTGCTCTACGGTTGTATTGAGCTCTTTTGTTAGTTCGTTGTTACTCGTATCGGGGTTTTTTCTTTGGGCTTCAGACCTGCATCTGAGCGATTTTTTTGTCGGCAGAAGTCCATGTGTGTAGCTCTTTTTAAAACTTTTTTTCCCTCGAGATTGATTTGATTAGCAAATCAAAATTCGAGGGTTTTTCGAAACGAGTCTAGTTTTCTATATTTATTATATATATATATATATATATATATATATATATATATATATATATATAGATTGATAGATAGATAGACAGATAGATATGCAAATATATATATATATATATATATATATATATATATATATATGATCACAATCACAGCTTGTTTATTTTATTTTTCAAACACGATCAAGAAGCTCTTTCACTCTCTCTCTCTCTATATATATATATATATGGAATATATTATTTCTCAAACACGGTCAGCATATTGTGGCCGTGATCATATTTGATGTTACTGAGTGTTTGGTTTTTCTTTTATTTTATTAATCCTTTCATTATTTTTTTTTTACTTTTTTTAAAATATGTTTATGAGTCTATTATATTTGTTTTATCAACGAGTATCTTGCGGGTGTAGAATTGCATTTCTACATTCTCCGTTTTAAACCTGTTAAAAGAGAATCACAGCTATGTATTATCATTTTGTACTGAACCCATTAAAATCGGCTCGGGAATTCTGTACGAAACAATGCATTCTGATTGGTCCATAAAGAATAATATCATCTTTCTGCCTTCACCCGCACGGCTGACCTCGACTTGACCTGTTCAGTGTTCAACGCGCCAAAAAATTGGTAAACATTCTTTCGAGACTTATACGTGATCAAGATAATTCATAAATATGAAACTTCGACACGACTTAATCAGAAATAATCAACTCGTCACACGAATCCATGAAACCCAACCTCTTCGCTAAAAGTTCATTTTTATTAGCATCAACGCGGTTTGTTGAATTCAATTTCTTTTCAACATCAACTCATCTAGTGAGGAATTCATTCTAAGACGAGTTTCAGAAAACAACTCGCTCAACATCTTAACAATATAAAGGAAATCGTAACTATATCAGTCGAAACGAGTCAACTCTATAGTAAGTCAAGCAATCTGTTTGAATTAATTTCATCAACATAAACTGTTTAATTCCTTAACAGATCTATAACATAAGACCTTTTATATTATCTTTGATCATACAACCAAGAAGTGTTTTAAACAACATTATTATATCGTGGGTTGGTACTTGTGATATAAAAATATTTGTTAAAACAATTTTTTTGCCTATTTGAATATTTCTCTTCTTGTTGTTGTCTTTGTTGCATTTGATTTAGTAAAAATTGTAGAGGTCAGTTTAATTTCTTTTTTTTCTCACCGATACAGATTGTCTAACCCACTACACGGTGGAATTTTGGTAGGTCACTATGTGTATTTAAATGAGACCTAGTTGAGCTATGGCCAGAGAGAGATGTAACATGATTTTGCATCTCTCTGAACATAGTTCAATTATATAATGGCTAAATATATCGGCGAAACCGTTATAAAATTTGTAGTTGGATGTAGATAATAAATTTTAGTAATAGTGGAGCACACCACATTATTTACACGAGTGTTGTTTTCATATGAAAACACTCAATTGCTTATCTAATTATATATGCATGTGTATATGTTTTTGTGTTATGAATATGTGCTTAGAAGTGACAAAAAGTCGAATGTTATTCTCATATTTGTGATGTATTTTATAATTTTTATCCTGTCTATATTTCAGTTCGTCTGTAATGTATTATGCTAATTATAAGAATTTTATCAATTCAAACGATCACACATAATTTTTTTTTCGTTTTCCTCACAGAGTTTTTTTTCTCTGATTTAACTGTTTTCTGATCTTTCTTGAATTAAAGAAAAAATAAATAAAAAAACAAACAAAAATTAATTGAATTTCAAGTAGACAGGATCGTTGAGAGGAATTTATTATTCGTTTTTTTTGTTTGTTTTTTTTTTTTTTGTAAATAAATTGTATTAAGCTGATGAAATAGGAAATTGAATATATCAAATATTAATTATAATGTTTGGCTGAAAGGTAGTTAAAATTTTCATTAAATATACGATATTGTAATTTTAAATCAATATAAAAAATGTGTTAGAAATTATCACATTCAGGAAGAGATGTAGATAAGAAGTATGATGGTGTTTTACCCCGAATCGGGTCTTAGATGAATGTGACAGTACTCATTTCTTCATGATCTCCTAGGTTGCCTGACATCAGCTGACGTGCTGATATTATTTAAAAGTCATATTTCTGACAAACTGAGCATGGTGAGATTCAAACCAGTGTCCCCAGATCAGAAAGTGAATGTTCTACTCACTTTGCCAGACGCTCATTTTAGATATAACTGAACTGACTGAGGCAGAGATTATTATACTTTAAGTATATTTCTAGGCGCAAAACATTGCTTTCGACATATTTTATTAAATGAAGGATACAAATAACGTCTGTTAACTTTTTTGGTTGAGTTTTGCGTTTGAAATAAATCATTTGTTCTGGAGTATAAAATTATAAGAAAACTTGTAGAAATTATGAGAAATACCCCAAATTCTTCGATCAACCTTTCTTATTTTCAAGAAAAATGTTGAGAAATAGGCAATGGTGCATTTATATCGTAAACGTGTACGTGATTTGTATTGATATTAGATTCATGTATTATGGTAGAACCAGTTAATAAAATTACCTTTGGTTTTATACACATTTTACACGAGTGAGATGGAAGAGAAATAAAAGAAAAAATACATACAATGTTGACAGATTATTTTATAATTTCCAGTCGACATCAAACGATATTTCTGACACCAGGTGAGACACCAAAAGCCTGAACAGACATTCCGTGTCATCTATTTAATAAAACAGTTATATAGATATATATCAGACGTCCGTGATAGATAGATAGATAGATAGATAGATAGATAGATAGTATATAGACAGGTTTAATTAGTGTTGTAGCATACCTACGGACGATAATGGGTATGTCCAAATTCACATTCATTTAGTAGTATATACTGTATTTTGGTCTGCGGTAGGAGATTCGTCCCCAGCTGTGCTGGTCGAACTCTCTGCCTCCAGGCATAGAAGGTCCCCAGACGAGGCTATGTCGAAGAGCAGTGACTCGTCTCAGGAAACAGCTACCCTACCCCGTTTTATACGCGGTCTATGGGGAATTTTTAACCGAGCCTTCGAGCTCGATTACTCCACATTAAATTCGGCCTTCTCTCAAATTTGACCGCGTGAGGCCTTTGGTAGATATCCTGTTTTTGGAAATTCGTCTCCGGCTGTGCTAGTCAAACTCAATACCTCCGGGCAGAGAGGATCGCCAGACGAAGCTATGTCGAAGGGCAGAGTTTCGTCTCGGGAAACAGCTAACCGACGCCGTTTTATACGGGGACTACGGGGAATTTTTGCCCGAAACTACGGGCTTGGATACCTCGCATTAAATTTGGCCTTGCGTCAAATCTGACCGGGTGGGACATTTGGTAGGTATACTGAAGTTGGGAGTCATTGTAAAATTCCTTTGACTCACTTCTAGCAGTTGACTACTTCTACTTATATGCGTTGTTCGTCTTCTAAGTATTATCGTTCATTACCAACATACGTTTGATTTTTTTATTCAGTAACTTCTCCTAGGTTACAATAGATAAATAGATATTTTCCATTTATACAAACTTTTCAATATAAAAATGTATCCTCGTAGTCGAAACAAATATAATTTGAGACATATGTCACTTTTAAGTCTTATTTATTTAAATGTCAGACCTTTCACAAATTATATATATATATCAACATCATTATATATGTCAGACCTTTCACAAATTATGCGATTATTGTTTTCTACAACTTCATCTCTCATGTTGCTCTAAATATCTTTTTATCCTTTATTGTCCTTTTACTTTTTTCTTTTTTTTTTTTTTTTTGCTACCATCAGAAGACAGCAAGTAGGATGCATTACGTGCTCCCAGAAGCACGTAATGCATCCTACTTGCTGTCTCTCGTGGTTTCTTTTGCATTCAAAAAGCCTTCAGAGATTTATGTTTTCTGTAACGCCTCACTATGTTTCCTATCGTACGCAAGAATACATAAATCAGCATAGTTTTACGAACTTACAGAAAACAAGTAAATGTATTTAGTTTTGTTAAAATCCGTAACAGAACAAAAATAATTCCAGTTCTGAAATGAATATTGCATTATTAACTGTGAATCTGAGTCAATAATAATTTCGTTTTTATCAAATGTTTTCTTCAAAAATTAAATTTCATTTATACTTTAATCACTTATATATCCACCATGTATGTGTGTGTGTGTGTGTGTGTGTGTGTGTTATTACAAGGTATTTATTTACACTGAGAAATGTATATATGCACATTTACGAACAGAAAATTACTAACAGCGAAAATAAATAAATCTTTTGAAATAAAAATGGAGAAGATGAAACGTAAAAATCCATGTGCTTAATGTATGCAATTCATTCTTTTAATATGGTTGAATACGCTAAAATTATTCAAATATACTCAAATGGAATCGCACTGTCGGCGATGGGTATTATGCATATTTAATAGTACATATATATATATATATATATATATATATATATATATATATATATATATATATATATCATAATTTCAAGGTCTTTTATTTTTGACATAGTCTAAATGTACACAGAAAAATGCATATATGCACATTTACGAAAAAATCAAAACAAAAGTGAGTTTATATTAAATCTTTTGAAATAAATATAGAGATTATGAAACGTCAAAGTCAACACGTTTAATATACGGAATTATTTCTTTTAATAAGGTCGAAATCGCTAAATTTATTCCAGATATAGACATCGTATTTTCGAAATGCAACAGAATAATTGTCACAACCAAAAGTTGTAAACATCGCTGATGAAGCAACACCATGTACATAAAAAGAATTGGAGATTTGTCAAAAGTTCTTTTTGTTTTCTTTTTAATAACAATGTTAGACATCATAATTACGTGCAGCTGATAAAATATATCCATAAGGAATTTTCTGGGGACATTTATAATGTCAGGATTTAGTTGTCAGTTCTGCAGTGACAATCTTTTTAAATCGATGTTGAATATTAATAAACAGGAAAAATTCTTGCATGACGTTGACGAATTGTTATTTTGTAAAAAAAAAAATCAAAGATTTGCGTTAATTTTCACGAGATCAACGAGTTTTATTAAAGAGAACTGAGAACATCTGGCTGTTTAATTAATTTTAATTATATTTTCTCAATTTTCGGATAAATTATTGAAAATTGTACACGAAGTTGTGTTTAAACTGTCCTATGTTCATATTTAGTTATTTTTGCTGAAGTACATTCAACTTTCGCAGTCATTATCAAGAATCAATATGCTGTATATATGGTAATTAGAATTCCTTTGTCTCCATCCTGGTATTCTTTGGGAAGGTTGACGTTTAAAATTGTCTAGCGTGACATCAGGTGAGATGGCGATTGGAAACGAGGCCGTACAAAAATAATGCGATTTATTTATTTATTTATTTTATTGACTTAATTATTATATTATATAACGCTAATATAATATGTACGCACATTAACTATATGTTATGCGCTTTAAGAGATCATATCCTGTGGGGAATTATATTTTATTTAACGTGGGCTTTTTATCCTGTATAATAATAGCTTCTAGAGTTTTCAATTTTCCTCTCATTGGATGAACAAGAGTATTTTGGTATTAACTACTGATATTTCTCTTATGTATATTTGGGCGTTCATGTTATGCTACTTGACGTGTGCTACGATTGCACTGAGTCACGAATGGAAAGAGTGATGATCGCCCAAGCATGTATCACATATCGGATTTAACTGACTGACATAAGAGAAAAAAGACGCTGTATACTTTCTTCGGATTCTCTTTGTTTTCATTATGTTCTATGTATTTTGGACTCCCCTGTGTCGTATAGGTCTACACTATGGTTTTATTCAAGCATATGTCTGCCTCTTGGAATATAACCCAGGTATATGTTAGTCAATCCAAATAAAAATATTCCAGAGAATAAACACGAGTGAACGAAGAGATATGTAATGAAATTATATATATATATATATATATATATATATATATATATATATATATATAAAATAGACACAAGAGTTATGAGGCACTTAGGGAGGATGGAACACCACAATTTTGTTTAGTCCTTTCACAGCAAGCAAGGTGGGGAATGCCTCTATTACGTAGTACGTAGATTGTAGTGATTAACAGACAGTAGAAGTTAAAGAAAAAATGGGCATAGGTGGAATTGAGGAAAAGATTAAAAGATTAACGGGGTTAATGGGAATATCACTACATCGTAGGGAGTTACAAACAGTAGAATTGAAAGAAAAACCTGGGTAAGTGTGGAATTGAGGAAAGGATAAAAGATTAACGGGATTAATGGGAATGCCACAAGATCGTAGAAAGTTTCAGACAGTCGAAGTTAAAGAAAAAATTTGGCATAGGTGGAATTAAGGAAAGGATAAAAATCAACGGGATTAATGGGAATCCCACTAGATCCTAGGGAGTTGCAGACAGTAGAAGTGAAAGAAAAGACTGTGCATAGGTTGAATTGAGTAAACGATAAAAGATTAACGGGATTCAAGAAGATAAAAGATATCGATTTATTTTGCATTTAAATTTGTGAAGAATATAGTTCATGGAAGCAAGTAAACGGAAGGGAGCTCCAATCGTGGGAAGTTTGAGAAAAGAAGCTATCTTCTAAATCATTAACCTATGTCGAGACACAAATAAACGTAGATTTTTTTTTAAAATAAGAATTCATCCATCATGACTGTATTTACGTATATTACAAACAAGTATACGTGTATGTATTTTACCCTTTTAGATTCCCTGTGGAGTATAGATTACAGCCATTAGACGCTAGATGTTGTTGGTGTGGTTTCTCTAGAAAGTAGATTATCGCGGGTCACAGTTGATTAACTGATTGATTTGAATTTTTTACGGCTTATCCAATTTTTTCCAAAGCCACAAAACACTTTCTAATTGTCAGAAATTTTGGAAATAAAAATAATTTACTGATACAATTATTACATGTTAACCCATAGCTGTGTAAGAAAATGTGGATTCGTGACTTTCCCAAGTGATTATGACGAACCAGAGTGGAATAGGACCTCGGCTCTCCGAATCACAATTCCGACACGATATGCATTACACTAACTCTATATCTAAGCATACAGCACCCTAGAACTAGGCTCACCTTTTCTTACGGTTGATGACTGTCCGGGAACTGCCTTTTCAACGGGATAATGACCGTAAATCTCGGGAGTATAGCGTCCCACACCCAACAGCTTTTCTTTATCTCGTGTCCTTTTAAACTGATTGCTAATCAAGGTGAGACAGCCCAGTCTCCCTGTTATTAACCTGTAGCTGGCATATAGAAGGGGTGATTTCATACTTATCCAAGCGTGACATTTTGTGGTATAAGCGTAGTGATTTCAACTCGAATTTAAACTCGACACGTAAATGCCACTTTCCGCGTCGGTAACCGCTTCTCTACTCGCACAGATACAGATGGTTTTGATTGTAATTGAAATTAAAAATTCGAATACTAATTATTTTATGGAAATAAGCCTTGACTACTTTGATAACGAATGTAAATTCGTTGTTACCTCAACTATGTAAGAATTATACTTTCATATGCCATATATTTTCTGATTGTGCGCAATTTTGTATCTTGACAATTTCTTATGTATTTCTTGAATCGCACCATTACTATCACTCTTTATCTGCCACCCATCCATTTAAACTGGTTAGTTTACCCGCATTTCCTACTGCTCCTCTTGCTTTTAATGTGCTGTTTGAGGGTTACAGTCTCTAGGTATTCCCTCCTCATGACGTGTCGATGACATCACAAATCATAAGAAAAATAAAAAAAGGAAATAAGAAAAAATAACAAGAAAATATTAGAGAATCGATGATGATAAGAATAATCTTACTCTTAGTCAAAGAATGAAAAGATGACGTCAAAAGAAAGAAAGGAAGGAAGAACAGAAGAAAAGGACGAAGGAAGGAAGAATGGAAGGTAGGAATGAAGGAAGGAAGAAGAGAAGGAAGGAAAAAAGGAAGAAGGAATGGAAGTAAAGAAGAAGAAGTGAAGGAAGGACGGATGGAAAGAGGAAGGGAGGAAAGAAGAAGGGTAGGAAGGAAAGATGAATGGAAGGAATGAATGAAGGGAAAGAAGGAAGAAGGGAATGAAGGAAGAAGGGAATGAAGGAAGAGGGGAAGGAAGAATGGATGAAACGAAGGAAAAAGGGAAAGAAGGGAGAAAAGAAGAAAAGAAGGAAGAATGGAAGGAATGAATGAAGGAATGAATGGAAAGTAGGAAGAAGGGAAGGAATGAATGAAGTAAGAAAGGAAGGAAGAAGGGAAGGAATGAATCAATGAAGTAAGAAAGGAAGGAAGAAGGGAAGGAATGAATCAATGAAGTAAGAAAGGAAGGAATAATGGAACGAAGGAAGAAAGGAAGGAAGAATGGAAGGAATGAATAAATGAAGAAAAATGGACGGAAGTGAGGAAAGAAGGAACGAACAAGGGAAACAAGGAATGGAAGGAACGAACAAGGAAAGGAAGGACAGAAGGAAGGAAGAAAGGAAAAAAGGAAAGATTGAATGAATGAAGGAAGAAAGGTATGAAGGTAGAATGGAAGGAAGGAATGAAGGAAGGAAGGAAGAAGGAAAAGAAGGAAGGAGAAGGAAGGAAGGAAGGAAGGAAAAGAATGGAAGGAATGATGAAGAAAGGAAGAAGAGAAGCAAGGGAGGAAAGTAGGAACGAAGAAGAGGAGGAGGAAGAGAGGAAAGAAGGAACGAAGAAAGGAAAAAAAAAGAATGAAGGCATAAAGGAAGGATATTTAAAGAAGGACAAAAAAAATGAGAAAACTCCAGAGAAAGAAACTGAATAATTGATAGAGAAATATTTAAAAGATGCTACATTGTAGGTGCGGTAATTTAAATATCTGGGAAGTGCTTTAACAGAGGAATAAAAGAGTGACACTGACATCCGAAGATGTTTTGGGATATCGAAATAAACATTCCAAAATTTAAGCAGACTACTAACAACTAGTAAAATCTAGATAGAAACAAGAAAAAGGGTACTAAATTGTTGTGTGATATCTCTCCTCATGTATGACGGTGAGTGCTGCACGATCTTTTCAAAGATGAAAAGGAGGCATGAAGAAACAGATATGTGGTTCTACAGAAAGATGCTGAGAATTTGAGGTTGTTTTGGAGAAAAGCTAAGCAAAAAGGAAAGTAATACTTAACATGAGGAAGAGAGAGTTGAGGTTTCTGGGATATATATATATATATATATATATATATATATATATATATATATAATATATAGAAGGAGGGCTTGGAAAATCTGATACTCACGGGAGATAGAGAACAATACTGATATAGGAAATATAATGAGCTTGCGTAAATGGTTGCCGAACAAGGCTTAGGAGAAATAACAGAAAGAAAATGTTTAAGAGCTGCAAGTTGTGGGAACCATGTTCGCCAACTTCCTAAGAGGACACGGTACCTAGAGAAGGACAAAGTTACCTCAAGTACTAGAATCAACTATTCAGTTCAAGAACCAAAAGAAAATGGAAGAGAATCAGAAAGAAAAAAAAATATGTCGCGACTGGTTATGAAGTAATAAATAGACCAACAAAAATAAAGGAGACACAAGAGAATGAAAACAAAAGATAGCTTAATTGATAAGAGAAAACAGTTGCATGTGGAAGCATACCATGCAAACAAATAACCATTCAAGATACCAATCCTTAATTTGATGGAAATTAGGCGAATTATCTAAATGGACGTTCATAATGGCTAAATAATTAGAAACTCTGTGACCAGATTTACCGGGAACAGCCATAAGTTCATGTGAGAAGACATTGTTTTTTTTCCTTACTCAAAAGCTTGTAATTACAAAATAACTTTTCGAATCACGAAACAAATTAGCTATTAACTCTAATGAAACCTTATTGAAGAATAAACGACAAATAACAAGAAATATATTTTGAAAGAAGAAATTAGGAACGGTGTTTGAAGAAATAATGTTCAAAGAAGTAAAAACAATGTTATAAAAAAAGAAAGAAAGAAAGAAACTATATTTTTTAGGTCAATTTTGATGGTTATTCGGTCTCATATTCTAGTGAAATATTTCAGATGATTTAAAACCGTGACATTTACTGCGAGTAGAAAAGTTGAAAAGTCTCTAAACTTGAGAGGCTGAATACAGATAAATGTCACTAAGCATGGATGAAAGTTCCATAGTTGAAACATTTGAGTTCTCGCCTTACCCCACGCCGCCATCTTTTCGTTACAACATCCGCACGCATAAAATAAAACAGCACTTAACGGAGCAAAGCGAGACTAAAAATAATCTGAATTTTAAATAACTTTTTAATAATTTCTAATATAATTTTTTACTTCGTTTCCAGAATCTAATAAATATTTTGTAGCAATCGTTTATGCCTAATTAAAAAATAAAATTTAATACACAATTAGATGCAAACATTTTCTTTAAAAAATCGAATCACTGGCACAATGTTGAGGTTTGCATTTGGTTGGTTGATTCATTTTTTAGGTTTATCAACCCTTTGATGCCAGAAAATAGGTTTTGTATTGTAAGAATATTTTTGAGATAATAATGATTTAGTGATACAAGCCTTACTAGTTGATAAGTCCCGAAAAGTGATATATTTATTCGAAGTAGCAAAGTGTTTCTTGACTACTGTAAACGAGTAGGACTATCTAGCAGGTAACAGTAATGGACTGGTCCTCGTCGTAGTGTTAGGCAATAGGCGTAGGCAATAGGCGAAGACTATAGGCGTAGCCAAGAGGCGTCGTCCTGTATCTCCGCATCAGTCTGTATTTATGACTGACACCAGCCAATCATATTACTGTGAGGGGGAAGCAGGTGTATGCATATTCATTACATCACTAGTTTAATCCATAGCTAGATGTGAAGAGGTGGATTTATACCTTTCCGAAAAGTATTTGATCGTAAGAAAATATAACGAACCAAACGTGTATTGAAACGCGGCTCTCCAGTTAAAACTTCGGAACCGTTATCCATGACACCACGTGCCCATTCAAGCTTACAACAATTGATATTCCCTAGCCTCACATATACTGATCAAAACTCGACGTAACAAAACTTCGGTGACAGTACAAGCACATGTGATTTGGTCGTAAGACTAGAGGTTTGTATTAAAGTAACTGTCAAGTTGGTAGTAAAATAGAATATTAAAAAATTAAATAAAAATATATAGTTTTTATTAAAACTTCGTTAATATAAGTAGTTGTGGTAAACGTATGCCAAACAGAATGATAATCCATTTTCTCAAGTAATCTTTAGACATTCATTGACTAAGTATTCAGTACTATTGTTGGTTGAAATTTATAAAGTATTTCTCTTCAAAATTTTCAGGAAATTAGTTGCCTGTAATTGTTATTTTTCTTTCCAGTATCGATACATTTTGTTTAGGATAACGTGGAATGTCAGCATCTTGATTTTATTTAATATTTCTTTCTTCGTGTTACATGAGCTATCCCTTTTAGCTGTTGCTGCTGTTGAAAGTCCACGGGTGATGAGGTTTCTGTTAGTTCCTTTTTTAATTTTGTAGCGCCAGACCAAAGTTGAATTATCTATGAACGAAGTTTGGCGTCAATTCATGACAATCATATGAACGTCTCGATTTGACAAGATTAATTAAATAGATAAGTCGAGATCTTAGGTTAACGTTTTGGTTTGTGGTGTTGGGTGAAACTAAATCTAGCACATCCTACTCAATGTTCAATTACCTTATCTCCTATATTACAGATGTTCTTGCCGATCCATACAGCGAGGGATTTAAAGTGTTATATTTATTCGGTCGAGGTATTTAGGACATACATGAGTCTATCAGACATTCATCAAGGCCAGAAGGTTATGAGGGAGGAATTCCGTGTCATAACATAGCGGGTCAATTTATATGGTTACTTAGCGACTAATCAGATTTGCTCCGTGGCTAGGTGTCCAGAACAGTAGATCACGCGTGAATACTTGTTTTGCACGCTAGCAATGTCCTGCAAAGCGTATTCTGCGTTTCCTTGCACTGTAGACATATCAAGGATGCGAATCATAGAACTGTTTTAGTTGGATGTTGTCTTCAAGAGATGTTAAGAATAGTTTTCAGCATCCGTTTTTTAGGTTTTATTAAGTTTAGACTCTAGGGTTTTAGTTAATGACTAGGCAATGTCACCATACATTAACACCGTATCTTTATTAGCTCGAAATAACCTCCGTTTGAGTTTGTCTGGTAGATCAGATTTCCAGATCATATCCATTTTATTCATGGTAATCCAGACATTAGCTATGGACATTTTCACACCCTTTCCAATAAAATTTGTCTCGTTTCCTAAGTATGTAAATGATTCGACAGATTGTTTTGATTCACCTGAGACACATTGTAATGAGCCATGCTGGCTGCTACCTAATAATTAAGTTTTGGAGGTAATAACCAACATTACTGGCTTCATTTTCTATATTATGAAGTAGAACTGCGGCATTGGTAATTGTGCCTGAAGTGATAGCTAAGCCATCTGCATAGTCAATATTTGTCAGCTTTTTTGAAGGACATCGATTTGAGAGTTTTGGTGATAAAGTAAAACCCAGATGATGATGTGTCTCTAGGGAAGTTCTTAGTACGTAGTAAAAGGTGATAGAAAAGTGGCTATATACACAAGGTTAATGAAGGCTTCAAGATATGCGTTATCACGTATTTTCTTCTACTTCCTGATCACTAATTGTCTGAGAAAGTTTTAAGTTGAGTCCTACCTCTTGGTATAGGGTACTGTTTCTTGTTCCAGAACATTCCTGCTTTAATTAAGAATGCCTATACCATCACCATAGTCCTTACATCATCTATACATTGTCCCAGGGATGAAATTCAGGACCGATTTTTTTATTAGGAGTTGTGGTACAATGTGGAGTATTTAGGTTTATATGCGCATAGCCTTCCATAGAAAAAGCTTGGAAATTTTTATTTCTTCATTTTCGTATTACAAATGAGTTTTGGAATATTCTGTTATTGGGGTCCTCACCTGGAATATAGGCCTTTGCGAACCGAAATAGTTATTCTATCACATCTAGATATTCAGTTGATTCGGAGCTTCGAAATCGGTTTTTGATGGATTAGACCAGCTGGTAAATATCATAGAAGCCCAAAGCCATATATTTTCCATTAGCAAGAGTTTATAGAACTTTTTTTTTCTGTTGATGGATATATTATACTTAATACATACCAAACATTACGCGTTTCTCTCCCCACAACTTTATAGATGATATTTGCAAAAATGAAAAATACAAATGAAAAGAAAAAAAAAGGCTTTCAGCAGGACGCAATACTCGCTTGTCTTCAGAGAATATTTTTGATAGAAAATCGATAGCCTTAAAGGACGAGACAACACTTTAAGGACGCACGGCTCCTAATATAACATCTCCCGATTTCTTTGCGCGGAAAAGTATATTATGTATATATTTTTCAACAGAAGAAAAAAACAAAACACTTCAGAATTCTAGTGAAGAAGCGGCAGGTCAATAACATTATAAATGTGTCGAAATTGCACAGGGTGCGATGGATAAATTGTCGTTTAAAAAAAGCAAAATTGAAAATAACACTGACATCTCATTTTAACAGATATATTTATCAAAATTACAGAAAAATATATTGACATAGGAAAGAGTAAATTTATTCAATAAAAACGCTATTGATTTCAACCACGTTCTACAGACGACTTCCGAATCTCCTACATCTCTTCTGGAACGTCTCCTTGTTTATGTTGGTTAATGCTGCCATAATCTTTGATGTTACAAGACGTTTTACTGGTCTCTCGCTACACACATAATAATCAAGGGGGTTGCAGTCTGGGGAGTTAAATGGCCCGATGTAAGGTGCAATATGGTCGCAGAAATTGTTTGACAGCCATGACTGGTTCTCCGGCTTGGTGCACAAACATGATGCCAGGCATATGGTCTTCAAGAAGCTACCCAATTGACCAAGGGCAGCACTGCCTCCGCAAGATATTTGATGTAGGCTTCCGTGTTGTCTGAAGCCATGTGAATGAAGGCATGACTTCGCCATCATTAGAGATCACTCCAAAGAACTTCGTAATCACTATTAATCTTATCCAACCCTTTTCGAAAACAAATATCTGTATTAGAGCTTCCGGTGCGAATGCCAAGCAGTAGAGCACACCATATCCAAAATTCTGGCGGAGCGAAATGCGGCATCATGGTTTTTTCTCTCAGAGACGCTGTCCAGCTGACTCTGTTATGCTTTGTAGTCAACAACGCGAAACAACCACAAAGCGAAATTAAAAAATACAATGGCGAAAATTTACCCTGACTATATTTCTGAGATGAGGTATTATGTACATTATTTACATTATTCAGACTATTGTCCTCATCTTTGTCGCCATATTTATTACAACGTTTCAGCCGTGGTCGGAAGGTCGAACTGAACAAACAACGCGAAATTAAAAATATATAATGGCGAAAATTTAACCTGACTATAATTCTGAGATGAGGTATTATATACTCTATTTACATTATTCGGACTATTGTCCTCATTTTTGTTGCCATATTTATTACAACGTTTCAGCCGTGGTTGGAATGTCGAACTGAATCCTTTATTTCGCTCACTGACGTAGACTGTTCTAGTTCCACGTGCCATGTCTAATGGTTATCTCCTGTTAATTACCCTTTCCAAGTTCTCCACCGCCTTAACTATGTATTGCAAGCACAGTCTTTGGATCCTGTCACTGGATCTAACTAACGCTTTTATCCACTGTGCCATGTGTCCTTGAGGACATCTGTGTATGAATATCTGGGTATTATAAACCTAATGCCTTCAGCATCATTTTTTTCAAGTTATTGCAATTTTTGCTGCTATCAAATCGTGTTTTAACCAGAGCTCATATTGCAATTTTTTTGTTATTATCGGTTTTGCCAGACACCCCTTATTACTGGTTCCCATATTCTATTCATTTCTATGCTTGGTCGGCTCAGGAGATTTTTGTGGCCTAGCATATATGCTGATTCCTTCAGTTTACAAATTTTCCAATGATGTTCTTTGTCTATGATCTCAACCCGACCCCACAGAGGGCGGTGATCTCCCATTTCTCTCCATATGTGGTCAGCCGAACCAGATTCTTTCCCCTAACCCTTGTGTTACAGCTTTCTGGTGTTCTTGAAGCCTTACCTTAAGAGGGTGGTCTGTTTCCCCTTTTTATTTCTTTCCGCAGCTACTTGGGATACCGTACACAAGGTCTTTAGTCATGTTCTCATCTAGGG